ATTTCGGCAACCAACCACATACTAAAATCTTCTATGATTGTTTCGCTACGCACTACAAAATTACGGCACGGAAATCTTACAATCAAATCATTAATTCATAACGTTAATCATTTTTTAAGCTAAAAACTAGTGAATGACAGCTCAAAAAACAAGGCACGTGAATAGTTACTGAAATCGATAGCGATAACTTACGTATTTGCACTGTTCAATGTAACGTCTATATACGTCTTCCGAAAAAATACAGCAGAAAAACAAGTCCACCATTGTTCATGTGTTTGTTTGTTGTGTCGCTTCTCCTGCTCTAGAAAGTGATTTGTAACACGAGTTCTGATTCATCTACGAGACTTGAACGCGATTTGTATAGGTAGTTGGTCAGATCCTTGTGGGCTCTCGCGATTACCAAAACTTAAAAAAAATACCAGTAGATAAATTTAAAAAAAATAATAATAGATTTTATGAAAAAAAAATATAAATGATATTATTTTAACAAAAAAAAAAAAAAAAAAAAACCCAAACTAGGATCTTATTTTAATCAGATTGGACTAGCTATAGATTTTGCGTTAAAATGAGGTTCTTTGAATACTGCTAATGGAATCAACTGCTGCCATATTATCCTCATTAGCCACATGGTAGAACAAATCTATTCGTGGGATAAAGGAGGGCTTGACAGGATGTTTTTGGTGTTGGAGACACCAGGAAGATGTTCCACCCTTGACTCGGCCAGAACAGTGCTGTCATTGTTGTTCTGTTCGACAACTTTCTTAGCGAGTGAGCACGACAAGTGAGTCATGAAATCTACCACACTATGCTTTTGCCTTTGCTCCGAGCCCTGAATATGTGACTCAAGACAGGTAGTTGGCTACTTAATTGTATTCTCCCTTGGTGTGTTTGCACCCCTGGTTTATTTTGTACCGAGTGCACCACGTGAGGATTAAAACTGGTCAGGTTTTGAGAGACTGTGACCTGGTGCCTCCCCCTTGTACCGATGAATCATGTAGAACCACTGAAACGGGTACATTCAAATGGTCAGTTTCTGGTGGTAGGCAAATAATATATCTGTTTCCTCCCCATGCAACCAGACTTTCCAATTATCAGTTCAAGACGTAGTGCATGTGATGACACCCCATGTACTGCTCTTCAATACATGCTGTGCTGTAGCATCAATTAAATGTACTGACCACGGTATTTTTTACTGAAGTAAGGAAATATTCTTGAACTGATTTCTGTTCTGCCTATCTTAGCTCAAACAAATGGCTGGAGCTGTCAAAACATTGCATCAAATGACCTGGTAGCTTGGAAATTCTGTCATGGTCACACTGCTGCAATGGCTAACTGAAAGCAATATTTTTCCGTGTGAGTATGAGTCAGAGAGGTCACCAGGAAGTAAACTGCTGATTTTGGTAGGGATGAAATGTCATTTGACTTGACCACCTACACATAATTAGACCCAAACGTAGACACGACTAGTCATAATTCAGACGCCACACCAAACATTTTATCATTCTGTGCTGTTGAACGCAGGATAAATGCCTCCTGAGAATTCAAATCCCACACATTTCTTGACAATGTCTCTTTGGTGAGAAGAACAACGGATAATCTATCTGTGACATCTCAGTAGGCTGAACAAGGACTTGTTTCTGTTTATATATGCTCCCAGTTGAATACACCAGCTGAATCTGAACAGAGGATTCTCACTGAGAACGTTTTATCGCTTTCTTGCAACGGCCCTCTGTTATGGGCTTGGAAATATTCAACCTGTTTCTCTCTGCATTCCTATAATACTTTGATGAAGAACTCCCGCGATGCCTGCTGTTAGGTAAGAGCAAGTTCATCTCGATCCTTATTAGCAAGAGTTGCAGCTTGGCGACGTTTATTGTTGACTTGCCACTTTCTTTCATCCCATAAGATATAAACATCGCAACTCGAATGTCGGGAGCAGTCATGGTGGTGCGACAAGTAATTTTGTCTTTGCATTAAATGAACAATTGCGTCAGTTAGACTTGGGTTTTTGGCAAGTGGCTAGCTGACTTAACTATCCAGTACACGAGGCCCCAGAGACTGGCAGGTCAGCCATCTTAAAGAGCACCATTCAACACGACTTCCACATAAAGTAAATTGGCTTCGGCAAATTATTTGATGCAAATGATTCACACAACCACAGCTGTAGTATGGTAAAGCAAACGCCGTTCTTGTTACGTTCTTGTCACATTCTCGGGTAAATTATATAACCCATTATTTGATTATTAATTAATAAATTAAATAATCATTTACTAACAAATAGTGGTATACTGGAATGTGACGATATAAGCAAGCACCCAGCCAAAATTAATTCAACATATTCTGTCAGGTTCCATAGTCAATAAACGATTTTCACATCTACAAGATAAATCACGGGAGTGGGAGGGGGGCGGTAACGAATATATTATTTATTATCAAGAAAGCAGAAATTAAAAAAAACAACATATGCCCTAGTAATTCATACATTGTACAAATGTTGAAGGATTTATGTTCGATAAGCAACCATTCAATCCGAGCGATAATCTGAGTCTATAGGTCATGTACCCGCTATTTATATCTGGGCAGACAAAAGCCTTACAGAACAATACACGTACATTATACACCGTAATAAACAATTCGACGTTTAGTTTCCCTAGATAATATCCGCAGTACATATTTGTCCTACTGAATTTGCTAAGTATAAAAATCAGATAAGTCGATTTTAATGAAGAAGTGCGTTTTTGTGTAAAGGTAATCAGATGGGTCATGATGTGAGTAATAGGAATTCCCCACGCAAATACTAAGGGCGTATACAAGGTAAAGTCTTTATGATTGTAATGAACTGTTTTCAAGAAAGATAAAACAAGCAATTTCGTCATCCGTGCAAAACTGTGGTTAGTTTGCATACAATATGTCCATTAATTATGAGTAATAGGTATTCCCCTGGGTACATTAATATACTAAAGTTGTGTAATTAATTGTGGGCGGGGTTGAACCACTCAGCCAGCCAACATATTAGAATATACGTGAAGTGTAACTCATCTATAAGCGTGTTTTTCTTTATTTAAATCTACTTTATTACTTTTCTGCTCAAAATGCACAGGTTACGGAACTTGGTCTCAACACACATCCCAAATGGCATACCCCTATCACTATGGTATCACTCACAGAACCAATACATACTAGGGGAATTCAACAATGACGCACTAACTATTGTTAATTGTTTTCAAACAACGACGACAGTGGACAGAATCTACTCAACAACAGCAGTCAAAATGAATTCATTCACGACCACGGAAAAACATTTCCGATATTTACAGATAATCGCGTGTGTTTTTCTACTTTTCCCACAAAATTCATTGATAGCTCTCGAACTGCCCCGACCAGTCAATCCTTGTGACGATGAATATTTCTACAGAGGCGAGGCTTTTGGTTGTAACCCGTGTACGATATGCAGAAACGCCGAGCATATGAATGGATGTGAACAATGTTGTAAGTTGTATTTCAAAACATATGAAAGTATACACATATTAACTATTAACAGTATAATAATTTTAATAATGTCAAACAAAAAAAAACATTATTTCTCAACTCTTAATATTAATAAATTAAGCTTAATTGAAACTGACAAACGGAGTATACGAAATCATACATCACTGTAAGAAATTAAATTCATGAGCCAATTGAACATGTTTCAAGGGACAAGATTTTATTTTTTATTTTACATGTTGTTGTATGTCTATATTAAGAATATCAATTATCAGTAAGGTAATTTCACCCTTCTCACATTAACTGGCATGTATATTTGTTAGTTACAGATCTCAAGTGTGATCCTGGTTGGTTTTTTCGCAATAAGGACTATGGTTGCCACCCATGTATTGTATGTACGACGCCTGATTATCTACCTGGATGTAATGAATGTGGTAAGTAACACAAACATCACATATAAAACATGTCATATATAAAACGTAACTCCTTTCAGATCAGGCATCCAAAAATAATTGTGTACACAATAGATTAGACATCCAGTGGCTTGTTATGAATTGATTGGATGAATTCATATTTTATTTATGAATAGATTGGTATATTACTATGTTTTAAATATGTTGTTTATGCCTCTTTTACAGTTCAATGTATGTATATTTTTAACTATATAATTATATAATTACTTTGTCTTTTATTCAGCTTTATTCAGCTTCTATTTACAGTCTGAGATTGCATTGAACTTTAGTTTGAAATTGTAAAATATTTCAATGTATTTGTTCTATAGTTTTCTCAACGACTGAATCATTGCCAGTTGAATTGAGTCTAACAACGTTAGCAGGGGATATTACAGTTGATAGTCATATTGGTAAGGCACTATTATTATCAATTCATAAGCACACTGTTACAGGGAAGAGTAGACCCAGAGATGACTTAAAGATGACCCAAAGATCCTGTTGATCATTGTCATGCCTGTGATTCAGTTCAACATTTTTTTGAACTGAACATGAATGAAATTCATATCAAAATAACAATATAAATCTATTATTGCTAATAATAGTTAATTCTGAATATCAAAGCGTTTCTTTTAAATATTTTTATACCACAGATACAGACTCATTGGTAGTGTCTACGCTAGCAGATAACGTGATGGTTAATGATAACAATTTTCCTAAGAAAAGACAAGGTAAGACAAAAGATAAGTGTTGAAATGATTGTTCATTTACAAAACAGACTTGATTTTTTTTACATTACTGCGTTTAATATAAATAATTAACTAAAAGCCATTTTTGCATAATGTCGCTTACATTTACTATGTTTATTCACTATGTTCAATTTTCGCGAGTTTTTATACACACACAAAAATGCATTTGGAGTGGTCCAAGACAAATATTGTAATTCGTAAGGAAGCACAACATGATTCAAACTACTGTCGTCCGATCCCGTCACATAGTATTTTTGGCAAAATGTTTATTTAAATTTTAAATATAACGTCTAACATTTTTGGACGAATGCGTTTGTAAAAATCAATGAAACGGGGGGGGGGGCATTAATCCAATTAGCTACTGTAAATTTTCACAGTTCTCAAATTATGTTTATAACGTTTTTGGGCCGTTGGCCATATATCTATCTATATATATATAATGAAAATAAATATGTTCACTATACATGCAGACATGTGAAGACAATTATGAAATTGCTAAACTATTTATTCTTTATTTGTGGTTTCAGAAATGTGGCTTGTATCAGCCATGATTTTAGGTGCTACGTTCGTTACATTATGTGCACTCGTCGTGTGTATGGTGTGGAAAAAAATTCTTAATAATATAAAGAAAAGGCGGCATCGTCAACAATACGACACTGAAGGTGAGTATAACAGCGACTTGTTAGTTCTTATCAACATTAGAACACTTCTAATCCAATCATTAATCCATAAATGTAACACTGACACTGTTATTAATATTTGCAGCAATATACATGAATGGGAAATATGAAACAAGATTAACAACACCAGTCAAATATGCCGACCACCTCACACGTTTTGGACAAGATTTACCACACCAGCCTGTCCAAGAAACCTGTTTGTGAGATTCTGTGCCCGACAACGACCGGTTTACAAGTCATGTTTACAACATTATTAATTTATTTATTTTATAAACCATGGAATCTATTAATTTAAATAGCAGAATTGGTACTAGCTGAATACTTTGTGAGAGCCATTCACTCAACTAGCGACGTTCGAAAAATTATAATCATTATATCGCAAGAAATATACACTCTGTACCAGAAATGTATAAACGCGCACCACTTGAATCCCTAAGCAATGGGAAAAGTGATATGTTTGAGACTATACTGAAGCCTGAACCGTATCGTTGATGATTAACCACGTGTAGCGGTCAATATGTAAAAACCGGTTATAGGGACACCGGGTACATAATTTGAAATACATTCCAATGTATTCAATTGATTACGCTTATTAAAAAAAATATATATTTCCATTATTTGTAACAATCCTGGTGCGCGTTAACAGCAACCTTATTTGAGCAGCAGATATGCCGTTGGGAACCAGAGCATAAAAGATTTTTAACTTCGAATATCAAGTACAGTACCGAAATTGAGGTTAAAGTTCGCGTCGAATGTGATACATACACACCATAATGAATTATGTAAGTTATTAATGCTGACAAATATTGTAATTGCATAATGATTGTTGGTGGTTTTATTTTATTTATTTATTTGTTCAACATGCATGTATTTTGAAAACATAACAAATGGAATTTCCTTGTCTTGTCATAGCTATTTAAAGAAGGGGATTTCCCTACAGGAACTGATGCCGAGTTTGCTTATAGTCAATGTATTGATACATTGGTTAGTAATAACAGTGTTGTTAGTAAAATGTTCAGCTCCGATGGGGGAGCACATTTGAAACAAACAACATGCTAATTATCAAATTTGTAAAAACCTAAAACACAGAACATTGTAAACGCTAGAATATATTTAAATAAACACACATTCATCAAATAAAGTTATTTTAAATAGTTTCTAGACTAGAAAATGTTTCAATCATATTTTACTCGAAAGCAACAAAAAGAGATAAAAATAAGTCATCTGAAGATGACACAGCCCCCACTTGTCAGATGTGATTATAGTTATATGAATTATAAAGTTTGAATGTATATGTATAAAATCGGGTAGGAAGATTAAGTTGAAAATCAAAAGTATGTTACTCAAAGTTAACAGGTAGGACATCTCTATTAAATTTGGTGAAATTTGCATCAGTTTTAACAAAAATTCACAATCAATTGAATATGGATTTACATGAACTATTAGTTTCAAAATTCAAAATTAATTAAACATATATTGACAGATCTAGTAAGTCTATACCAACTTTGGTCTCATTTGAACAACTATTTCACAAAATATCGACAAAAATTCAAAATTCATTATAGATGCAAATGAGCTCGTTAATTAAATTGAAACTCAATATTGCATAGCATATATCATATATAAGTCTCTACCAAGTTTGGTGATTTGGACTATTAGTTCACAGAATATTAACAAGAATTAAATATGCAATTGAGCTCATTATTTGATTCCTTGAAAAAATAAATCAATGTGAATCTGTACCAGTGGTCACTCTGTCTTTGTACCAAGTCTCAGCAAAATCGGTCCAGGCATCTCCGAGAAATGATGATGGACACATCCAAACAACTGGATATTACAGAATTTTGACATTCAAAATTGCCGCTAGGCAGCCATATTTGATCCAATCAGGAAATAAATCCATGTGAATATGTATACCTCCTTACTGTGTCTTTGTGCCTGAAATCATTGAAATCAGTCAAGGCATCTCTGAGAAATATCAATGAACAGACAAAAGCCATGAAAAACAATCAAAATGGCTGCCAGTCGGCCATAATTGATCATTTCAAAAAAGTAAAACAACATGCATCTGTATGGTCGGTCCCTTTGTATTTGTAGCAAGTCTCAACAAAGTCGGTCAAGCCATCTCCGAGAAATGACCATGGACAACACACAAGGACCAAATTTGACTGCATTTTGGCATTAAAAGTCGGCCATATTTGATCGAAGCGGAAAATAAATTGACGTGCACATGTATGGTTGACCACTATCTCTTTGTACCACGTTTCAAAAAAAATCGGTCCAACCATCTTCGAGAAATCACTCAGTACGAACTATTGGACTGACTTTATCCGGGTGGGGCTAATAATCCAAATGCAAAATGGCAAGGCAAGAATATTCTGAAAATGCACTGGCAATGTAATTGTTAAAGAACTACAATAATTATTGAATGGTGATGTTAAATGCATACATTATATATACTGCATAATGGATTTAAACAATAAAGTTGATAATTTGAAGTTGGTCAATATGCGTCAACTTCTGGGACAGAAAACTAGGTCAAGTATGTCAGACTAACAGGTCAGACGCAGAATAATAAGATCAGCCAGATCACTGTGTGTGTATATGTAGGGATGGGTGGGTGTCACCAACATAATTTGGAAGACGTTTATTAGAAATTATCCATGAGATACAAATGTATAATGTCATATTTGAATTACCCAAATTTATGTCAGGGGGGTCCTGACTTTGAAAAGCTGATGAGGTCAAACTAACTATTGTATTCAGGTCGTGGTTTGAGTTCATCAATATTACGTTTACTATCGGATTTGTTTTTAAATGACGCTGGAAACATCCGGATAACAGTCAACTCAATACAGCAATACCAGTATTACTGGTAGAAACGTCCCACGCTTATACTGAATACAATATAGCCAAATTTAATGGCTAAATCAAACCATGAAAATGGTGAGTTTTGACATCCCCAAATTCAAAATTTCCAAGGACCATTTATTACTAATCTTCTGTTTTTATTACCTTTCTCCCCCCCAAATTGTGTGTGTGCTTGACTTGCATATGCTGGGCTTGTATTAGCATAATTATCGACATACTCATTCTAGAGTCCTGCCCACTTAAAGGGTGTTGGTCGTCGCGCAGCTCGTGTTCGAAGTTCATGTAAATAAACACGCGCTGTGTACGTCGCTATGAGTCCGATATCGAACAGAGCAGACTTTATATTCATTCTGGTAATACATAAAAAGGAAGCCAGTCCAAATCAAGATATCTATTAGCAATCGTGTTCAACATTCGATGTGGAAATAGTGTACTTTCAAGCAATTGAACCAGATAACAATGAACAGCAATGAAGAATCATTGGTCATGTTTCTACTCGAAACAATACAGCTAAGCTTCAGGGCTGAATTAAAACAATAAATTAGTGAATATTGACACTCACTAATGTTAAAAGGTCAAGGACCATTAGATACTGACCTCCCGGTCAAGTTATCATTATTATAAAGCATATGTGAAAGTAAGAAAATCGTCCGTCTGAAAAAGGTATACTTTGTCATGGGATTTTCCCACCACTGTATTGTTATTTATGTATTTTTACCAACATAGAAGCCTAGACGGTCGTCTTCGCTGTATAAAAAAAATAATTAATATATACTACCTTGCGTTATCATTATATTATTATATATTTGACGTGTTATTTCAATATTTTATATGAGGTAATTATCTATCAAGGGAAACCCCCTAGGGAACCCCCTGGGGGTTTCCCAGCCTTAATTATAAAAAGGGTGACATATGTACAAATGCAATACGTCAACCTACAGAGCGGTGTATCATACACTCTTATAACTGACGGATGCGTTGTGTAAAATAACATTGATTCGAAACTACTTATTAGCTAATTCAAAATTATTCAAAACTCGTTAGTAAAATGGCTGGACATACAGTGAGTGTTATGTGGGTAACTGAATTTTTGACGCTATTAATATTGTTGGTGGCAATTCAAGTAGCGACGCGTCAACAGTGCGGAGACGGGCAATTTTACAGGGGTGAACATTTCGGCTGTAACCCATGTAAACTGTGCACATCTTCAGACGACATACCTGGCTGTGAAGAATGCTGTAAGTATGGCTCAACTAGAAGATTATTAACCGATCGTAGTAATTGGAAATGTAGAGTGTAATAATGTATCCAGATAAATCACTGAAGTGACTGACTAATTTTATTTTTGTATTTGTCAGACTCACGTCATTGTGAAAATGGTTGGTTCTTTCACGGTAAAGACTATGGCTGTCACCCTTGTAGTGTGTGCAAGACACCTGACGATTTACCTGGATGTGATGAATGCGGTAAACAATATATACTATATTTTATACAACACTTGATTTCACGCAAAGGTGAACAGGTGGCAAATTTAGTAACTCTGTGCAGATTTATAATTTCAGTGATCGGTCCAGAATGCCCTCCATTGTTGATGATGACATAACTTACATTAACTCACTAACTAAATCAAAACCACTAAATCAAGTGTCTACTATTACACGGGACCACCATTATCAGTATACACCCGCGTCATTCCGCGGCAGCCAAGATTGTATGCCCACCTCTTGCTGGCGGTATGCAAATTAGTTAAAATGGCAACACCAAACACGCGTTGTTCACGTGTTCTTGGAGAAGTATGGCGTGTAAGCTATATGCATACTCTATGAACTACAGAACAGAACATTCTTATTTTTGTTGACACCACTTTATAAAGTCACTGAATAGTCCACAGTATTTAACGTTAGTCTTACTATTTGGTTATTTAGATTTTTCTACATCTGAGCCACAAACACTAACAGCAAGTGATTTGAAGAATGACGAAGCAGTGATATCAGAAGTTGACGATGACGTAGTGAATAAGGACAATCGAAATTCAGGTATGGCTGTGTTTCTATTTCAAAACGTATTTCCCTAGTATTTTAATGCAGAGTTTATGTTCGATCTAGTACTGAAAAAAGGCTGACGGTGTTTTCTTCGCTTGTAAACAGACGGTAACCCCGCGACAGTATGGGTACATATTACAGTTGCAGTGGGCGTTGCACTCATCGGACTCATGAGTGCACTGGCAGTCTTCGCTTTAATTCACAGACGCAGAAGGAACACATAAACGCGTGACGTAGTTCATAATGATACTAGAGTACACGACACCCAAGGTATGTTAGTTGCATGTTAACATTTTGCTGCCGGCAAGCATTCAATGCAATCACTCTGATCAAAGAAGACAATATACCAAACAGTTCGGTCGAATATTAACACTTGCTCATTTTCTCTTTCAGTCAATTTTCAGAACGATAAGTTTGAACAAGTATTAGTTCCAGCCCGGGGGCAACAAACCAAACTCGACGGTCAGTGTGCGCAATACGATGCAATTTCTGTCATTCATTCAGGAGGATCAAACTTCCATGGACAAGAATCACTTCCACTTAAGTTAGCCTCAGATGATCACGATGTGTTAAGCCGTAGCAACCATAGTGTGTATTGTGACGATACCGAACGCAAGCAACTAGTAGATATAACTACCAAAATATAAGATGATTTTATAGATAATTTGAAAATATAAATCTTGAATTTGTCATTAATATGTTTGTCTACTTACATAATTCACTTTTATCTGCTTGTATTTTGGAGTTCTTATCAATACCTCAAGGATATTTGTTTTCTATTTTCTTTCCTAGAAATTCGAAACTTTTATATGAATTTGGATATTCTTTTGGTAAGATGTTCTTTCTACTTTTTGTTTTACAAATAAGTTACTTTGGCCGATTTGGCCCTTCGTTATTATACACGGATATGTAAATACATGTAAATGATAGAGTCTCAACAAACTTAAAGCAGGTGAACAGTATTGTGTTGCTCATCACAACACCTTATTTTTTTAGGAAAATCAAAGATAAAATATTTTTTATTACCTTGTGAACTGGGTTGTTTTATTAGGTATTAGTATATATTATGTACAGGCTAAGCACGTATTGTTGATGAACGTACTACGAGTTCAGAACGGCTATTTATATTGACTAATAACACAACCAGTCTGAGTTCTCGCGTGATTTAGGATATCCGTGCATTTGATGCGTTATTGTTTTTGTCGACAGCAAATAATGGACTGGTTAAAGTGCAAATTATAAATACCGTAAATCACCCGGACAATTTGTTTAAAGAAATTAAGAACAACATGTCTGAAAAATCAGACAATGGCACGGTCTATTTTGAATAAGGCACATTAAGTCGAAATCCTTGATATGATACTGTTATGCTAGTTACTTCAACACCTTAAAAATTAAAGCAGACAAAAACTAGCATTTTGTAGGGGAAATTAAATTCACGTTGGTACAATCGTTGAATTGCTCTGTGGCTGCGGTGTTGAGTGTGGTGCATATTTTAACATTTGGGGCCATGATCAGACAGCAAACAGCGCACGTAAATTACAAGTGAAATCATGTTCATACAATGGGTAGAATCTCGCTCGCTAGCAAAAACAAAAACACTAAAATTGCAAGACAGTCTTTTGATGTCGTTTTCTTGTATATTTTTTTCACTGAATAAAGGTTAAAACCACGCCTTGATAATAGAGTGATTTCGGGAATTGGGAATACCCGCCAACTATCATACAATCACCTCATGCAGGGTATTTCCCAATTTTTGTGGGTTTGTTCCCAACCTGCCGATCCTTCACATTAATGAAATGGTTGCCTTGAACATTGGTACATACCTTTCTGAAATCCATACTTCGAATTATGGCTGTTAGCAGGAAATTGTCCGCATACTATTGGCTCGCATGTCTCACCATTCTACTAACAATTACCAAGGCCGAAAAACAGTGCAACGATGGCGAGTTTTTTAAAACCGGCGAATGTCATATATGTGAGAGCATTTGTTACGGTTCCAACGCCGTGAAGGAGTGTAACCAGTGTTGGACACGTAAGTACCAGTCGCCAACTGATCTACTAAGTAATCGATAAATCATTGTTGATAACAAAAATGTATTGTTCAAGCAGCATATCGCCGATCGGTTATCGGATTTGAACTCGGGTTTTCCAGTTTCACGGTGTTGTTTTCAAGTTTGTGTAGTGCACACAACCAGTGAATTGAAATTTGTCCCGAATTGGCCATTGAATAATAACATCCAAAAAAAAATACTGTTGTAACTGAGTTTGCCAACTAATCAAATAAGGGCTCTTATATCGCTTCGGTACGGCAGGACTTAAACAGAGCTAACAATAGATCGACACCGTACTACGTCCCACACAAACAAATTAAACAATTACAAACTCTCTCGAAATGATCAAGATAGGGAATAAAAATGTTGGCTGATGTTAGAGTACATATCAGAGTAATTAATTTCCACGTACACGGAAGATGGGATAAGAAAAAAAACAACAACAACTACGCCACAAAACTTGGAACGATTCCAATTGACGGGTGCTTACTGTGTCCATTGTTAACGGCAAACAATGATATTACTGTTAAACCCAATACACTGAATGAGACCATAGGTAAATAACAGCTCCCCTGCACATGAATTGTTTATTGTTGATGCTCTAATCTGCCACCCTGGCATATGCTGCAATATAAAATCCATTTAACAATTAAACTATATATCAAACAATGAATCAATCCTACATTCCAAATTTGTAATTATTATGATGATTTGTATACTTGTGTGTCTTACACATTGTTTTGTTTTATTCTGGAGTTCATAACTTTCCATATAATTTCACATTTTTTATGGGTTTTTTTGACTTATCAACTGGTTATAAATTTAAATATCCAATGAGTTAAATATTATTTCTACTCTAACAAATAAGTTACAAATAACTTAGTTTTGCCGATGGGGTCGCTCTTTCATCATGTAGGGATTGAATATTTAAATAATGTTCAATTATTGGATGTCAACATATATATATATTTGTTATTTCGAGTAGTTGGAGAATTATTAGTACCTTATTTCAAAGAAAAATCATATACCGATTTTTATGTAAATTGATTTTAATCTTATACTTTCATCAAATAAAACATAAGAAATCTGTATATTGTAACAATGGCATTGTGTTATTCCGACTACAAATATTTTATTAATTGGATTGCAAAATATTGTTGACACATTTCGTTGATTGTGATTGTAATATTTTTTATCACGATATATATTATACTTTTAAATTCACGTTTACTTTGATTGTTTAACTTTTATACTAGTAATAAGTTATAATAAGAATTTACCAGTCTCCCTACACCAAAATGTTGAATACAAATGTATGTGTCTGCGACATGTACCGGTCCCTTACGTTTATAATTACCTCGCGTGATTTACGATATCAGTGTGTTTATTCTAATATTTCTTTGTTGTTCTATTAGTAACACAAATGAAAATACTAAAAACAGTCAATTAAAATAGAAAACAAATAAAAAACGCGATTTAGAAGAACTAAGAATTTAGGAGTATCTAAAGATTTGCATAAAGTAACTACGATCAAAAGGTCAGACAAATCAAACAATGGAAATCGACAATATGGCGCCTGTCACGGTTATATGGTGACATATTAACACCGCGAAAAACATATAAACTAGATATAGTAGTATATCTTGATAAGCACTCAACATAAATTATTGTGTTATATCGGTGTATTCGCCTGAATGACCGTGATGTTTGGTAATGTGCGAGTCATAGTAGAACTTTGATCTTGGGCGTATAATGCAAGGTTAATATGAAACGGTCAACATACTTATATGTGTGAAACCTCGTATACCACCAGGAGAATTTGCTGTACATTTGACTTTGAATTATAACTCATTTAACCTTTCTTCCCGCATAATTATTTTACTGAATCAAGTTTCATATTAGTTACATCGTGGCTTTCTCTACAGTAACGTTATCGCTGCTTTACAAACAATCTGCTTATATAGCTGTCAGGGAAGGATTGAGACTGTAAACGGGGGTGGTGTGAACCGGAGATCTTTATTCGGAGTCTTGACATCAGATAAGTACAAAAGTTGTTTCTGGGCGTTGGCCCAACGGCCAAGCCCAGAGAGCAAACAAGTGGACCAGGTCCGGTGTGTCTCCCTGAGTATATATCTGTGTCCTCTCTTTAAGTCTAAAGTAACATGTCTTTTTGTAAGCTAAATCACGTGATTCAAATTGAACATTGAAAGTGATTCAATACACCCGCATAAGTTTCCCGAAATACATTGAATAAAAATACAAAAGTGATTTTAGCACCTCCACATCGTGGGTAAATTTGTCGCAGGTGATAATGTTTTACGAATTATATTGTTACAAGCGGTGTCATACACTGCCAGCTGCCCATATAAGACATACTTGCTAAAAGCGACACGGATTTTGTTTCAGAAACCACTCTTGTAGATAGCAATGTGAAGATAGGCTTGGTATTGTTTCAATACAAGCGCCACCCGTGGGAATCCTAACCAAGTCCATGACGGGTGTCTGTACGAGCGATATGACATAGCTTAAATTAATAAAAAAAGATAGAATGAACAAATCTACAATGTCTCGTGTCTTGAAACTCTTTCAATTTTATGCAGACAGATTCAATGTTATCGCCAGTTGTTCTAATGAATGTGTGGCCGTATGAGGGAAAAACAACAGCATTATCGTTTTCAAAAAATGGTGGCGCTATATACGTGACCTCATACATTACATTAAAGCGAGAGAGTCGTCATCTGCGATGCGTCAGATGGCCATAGCGTGTTATTGTTTACAAACAAGAGTCTACCTTGTGTGTTTTAGCCTGTGTTGTTATCGTCGCTTGGGACTCAATTCCCAGGCGTTCGCAGGTGACGACCCTCCCGCTTTAATACATTAAATGGTTTAGTTTCAGAAGCAATGTTATAAACTTATAACATTGTGCAGCCGTGACTAATCTGAAAGTCCAATTCTCAACTCATGTATTATGATGAGCCATGGCAAATGAAACTACTCATGATTGTTCATTTCATCTCGTCCTAACGTTTTTTGGTGGATTGGTCTTGAAATATTAAATCACTCTAGAGGGCGCAATGCATGTCTTTTGGGGCGTAGTAACTCATGTTAATCACATTTGATCAGCGAAAATGTTTTTATATAGAAAAGTAAAACTATAGCGGAAAGATTCTAGTTATAAAGTTAAAGTCTTCTCTATACTGTTATATGTATAGTCAAGGGTCATACAAACGCATAAAACTATCGTGTACTTCTTGTTATTTAATTTTAATTTAAAATGACTCGCCGTATATGATTATAGTATTGACCTTTTCATTACTAACACCAATACTAAATCTCCCTTTGTTATAGGATCCACAAGTGACGCAACATCAACATTTACCAGTTCTCATCAAATCACAAAAGAACCAATCAAATATGTTATTGACACCGACTTGAAGGTAGAAGTAGGTAAGTGCATATTTACATTGCAAGACAACTTGCATTAGTATGACGTAATCATATATATGCACATCATCGTATTTAA